AAAAGAGCTAGACTGTAATTTTATAAATGGCTACGAAGAGCTAGAACTATCTACAAAGGAATGTCCTTATATACTTCTATCCTTTGTACTCCTAGGCCAATTAGATCCTTTCTTGCGGAAGCAGCCTTCCTGGCCCTTGCCTTAGGCCTGCTTTCGTGACAGACGCCTGTCAGGCGCCAAGCCTCCTGTCACGTCACGTGACCTGATGACCTAATTCTTGCCCCGCATATCGTCGTCCTACGTTGATATGCCTCTCTCAAGCCTCACGATCCTGTACCCATCGTTTGCTTGGTTGAAGATATCTGCATATCTTCCTTGTGCGTAACATATAAGCTATATCTAAGCTTCTTTTAATAAAGGTTGTATATTCTAGTGTTAAGACATTATCTTGTACTATAGGTGATAGTACAATTTAGTGGGGTCTTGGCATGTCCGGCCACTCGCCCGTGCCGGCCACTCGCCCGTAAAGTACGTTAGGCCTTAATACTAAATATAAGCCTTATTATTTCTTATTTAGATAGATTTAATAATTATAATTAATATAAGCCTATTTTCATATAAAATAGTTTAAAAACCATGTTTCTATAAGGATTTATATAAGCTAGTAGTGGGGTGAGCCATTTTTTAGTGTGCGGGGAATTTTGGCAGTCGCGTGCGTACCTCCTTCCCACCATCTAGAGAGCAATAACTCTCAACACCTTTCCCGCTTTCGTCACTTGCTCCATGCTTTTGATTTCATCTGCTGGAAAATCGCAGAAACAGCGTCATTTGAGGGGCAACCTGTCACAGTACTTGAGCACAAGCCATCGATGTCGTGCAAAAAGAAGGACTCGGTCAATAAGGCTTTAGGACTGTTCGCATAGGACCACTTGTTCGCCTGGAAGATCAAGCACCTTCCATACGACGTGTTCACATCTGAAGTTTAGGTAATGCGAGGCTGCTTAGCGTGCATGCATGGGGACAGCTGAAGCGAGAAAGGATTCAAAGGAAGCCTAGGAGTGCCGCCGACACGACAAGGTACACAGCAACCCGACCTCCTACGATCACCTTTTTCGGTAGCGACGGTGCTGTACGATCTTCGGCAGTGCTATTTCAGTGTTGCTGCTGCGTTAAATCATGGGCCCAATCAAACCGCGCGATATCGGCCTGGGTCAGGCTCCCCTAGGTACCATAGCCACGCTATCCGATGGAAAAACTCTCTCTTTCCGCGAAAGACCTGGTGTCAAGGTCTGTCTTCATTGCCTCCAAGTTATAGATTGGCTCTCCTTAAGACATACCAATATCACCGGCTACTCGAACCCCACGGAGTTCGAAGGCTTCACCCGACAGCGGCCCGGAAGCAAGTGTCAGCTGCAGCTATGCTCGACGATGCGCTGGCATCTTGATGGCGACCTGGAAGAAGTCGATGGCATTAAAATCCTGCCGAAGATCGACTACAATACATGTCTGTCGTCGGTAAAGATCACATATTCATATGAATCCATGCCGAGTATATGCCGTCAAATAGACGTCTGGGCCGAAGAAGGCACTTCTCACTTTCTATATTTTCTATCCAGATGGTCTAATACGACGCAGACAGTCCACTTAATAAACGACCGCTTGCGCTGATCAAATTGAGTCACCTCAACATTTCTAGACCTCTCGCAGTTTCGGCTACGCCTCCTCTTGATCATGACAGGGGCCCGGAGGCCTTAGGGGTGATGAAAATGTGGATCAGCAACTGTCTCGAATGCACTGACGATAAACCCCATTCTCGGTGCCGCGACACGCTTGCCCACAGTGTCGTAAATGAAGAGGACTCACCGATCCCGGCTGAGCGTATCATTGATGTTGGTTTGGACGACACCGACAACGTACGACTGGCTCTGACCAACGACACACGCGGAAGATATTGCGCATTGAGTCATTGCTGGGGTCCCGTCGACAAGAGGCCTACTTGTGTCACACGCGCCAACGAAGATTCGTTCTTTGCTGGAATAGAAGTGGGTGGTCTCTCTAGGACTTTTCAGGATGCGATTCTCGTCACGAGAGGCCTAGGGATAAGATATCTTTGGATTGACTCTTTATGCATCGTCCAAGATGATGTAGCACATTGGAGACAGGAATCAGCTCGAATGGGTTCTATCTATGAAAACGCGTTTTTGCGCATTGCGGCTAGTGGGGCGACTAATAGTACTGAAGGCTTGTTTCAGCGTAATCTAGACCGGAAGACAAGTGAGAAGCGACCTCCTACGATTGATTTGCGTCAGAAGAACTCCAAGCAAGCGCTCATCCACTTCCGTGCCGCCAGAGAAAATACGAACGGAGACCACATTAGTCCCCTCGCTCGAAGGGCATGGGTATTCCAAGAGTCGCGCTTGTCTCGGCGCACGATATTCTTCAATCGCCCTGGTATCACTTGGGAGTGTAGGGCGTGTCGTATGAATGAACGGAATCACACAGATACTGTTCCGCGGTCCCAGATGTACTCTTGGACGAAACACGTCGAAGACTACTCCGACTGCGTACTGACGTACGAAAGTGATCGATTGATTGCGCTTGAAGGCTTAGCAAGCGAACTAGGAAAACTACGACCAGATACGTATCACCTTGGAACATGGCTCGGGGACGTGAGTGGTCTAATGTGGCGAATAGTGGAGCCTGAGGTCGGTATGAGGGGTTTGCCAGACTTACCCTCATGGACCTGGGCCAGCCGGCCTGGAAGAAAGAGATTTGCAACTGGCTTTGGCCCCATCAAAAGGGCCGATGGGACCACCAGCACTATAAGCTTTCAGGACAATGGCAGAACCCTGATCTTGGAAGCGAGCCTCACGGAGTGCATAGTAACTGACGATCGGTTCGTGAATCTACTGAGGGCTGATGGCAAAGGCGGAACAACACCAACAGGCCTTGTACGATTTGACGATGCAAGCGATTATCAGCGTCTGCACTGCTCTATGTTGGGGACAGACTGGAACAGTGCATTGATCAGTCAGCCTAATGACATTCTCCGTGGAGATACACGTAAGCTGCCTACCTGGCCTGCAAGACGGCTGTGCTGACCAAATAAAAGCCAAAGGTGAAAATTACTACTGGGCTCTTTTTCTTCAACCTATAGAGAACAGGCAGGATCATTATCGCCGCGTTGGTATAGGTCTGATTTGGTCCACGCCTGATATAGAAGACTATCTCGAGAAGCAGACTTTTCATTTGGTATGAAGTGTCGTCTCAACAGCGCCGAAGTGTCCATATGCAATCTTGGTTCGACGAGATATGTGGTCACGAGACCCAAGTAAATGATCAACATTCTAGAATTGCATCTCCAAATCGAATGCCTTTTGTATTTCATGTCTATTTGTTAAGCAAACGGTTGAGGCATCTCAACGCTCAAGAAGCACAGCCAGGGGCAAAAAGCAAGGCAAAAAAGAGTCGAATGAAGGGCTGAATGAGAATTGAACTCATGACCTACAGGAAGCCGTTGGATACTGCAGCCTGCCGCTCTACCACTGAGCTACCAGCCCGATGTATTTGATATGATTAATCTGGGATTCTATTAATTCATATCGTTGCCAAAACTAGTTTGCCCCAACTCAATAAGAACGTGGACCTGAAGACATTGGGTAAGATACGATGGGAAATCATGATGGGGCGGTGAGTAAGAGAAAGGAGTTGGTGGTGAGCCGGAGCCGCTATTTGCCGCTGTTTGCGGGTGACAAAGAACAAAACTGTTGTTTTACTTTCACGGCCGGTTCTCGAGAGTTAGACACGAATGATGGGCAATCTTCTTCTGTTCCGCATCAAAGTCTAAAACACCTTTGAGCATCGAGCATCGGCTTACGGTACTTATCAGTGGAATATCTAAGTGGCAAGTAATATTGTCTCAATTCATATTGTTGGTCTACGGTAATGAAACTAAATGCATACAGAATTTGAGTTGGTTTCAATCAGTGGACTATGCTGGTACGGAGTAACACATGTCTTAGGCCCCAGCCGGTACCACGTTTCCTTGAATCATCCCGATTGGTATAGTTATCGGTGTGCAGTCAAGCTCGTTGGATCCTGTCATGAAGCTCCTTGAATTCTCTCACGAATCTCCTTGAAAACGCGCGCTCTACCATCAGGGTCTGAACCTCGACATATGCTCCGCCTTCCTTGAATTTAGATCTTAGCCATGTTACTAGCGGGCTGTATAGTTCCTCGTTGGTACAAGCGAGGCCCAGTGGGAACGAGAAGACCTCACAAAGAAGTATAAGACGTTGTAATTTAGGACAATTGACAATTTCTTGCAAGCCAGGATTTTTCTCGAGTATTTCGTCGATAGTGAGACGCCTAGTGAGCATTCGAGCTCGACGATCGTACTTCGCGACAAATCTATGATCCACACTCAAAGATAGGCCACGTAATGATGTTGAAGCTGCGATTAGGTCGCTCAGACACCATAGGTTCAGGTGTCGAGAGAGAGGGAACAAATCAGTGTGTCCCGACAAGATAAGATATTTGATGGCGCCGAATGCCTCATTGTTGTAACAGCGCATCATGTATCTTGTAAAAGCGTCTTCTGGCAAAGAGATGGGTCCATTTATATTGAAAGTTCGGCCTCTAATCCACACGAGAACCGACTCGTGCAAAGCCTGCTTGCATACGTATGACACTGATGGTAGAGTCTTGGGAAAGAAGAACGGTGAGGTCTCTTTGTAGTAGTCTTCCAAGACGAACACTTTGTCGACATCCTCCATAGCATACCCGTAGATCATTTCTCGTAGTTCAAGTGGCAACCCCATAAGAGATGCTGGGTGCTGGTGATGATGTACCGGTGAAGAAGCTTGCTCGGTTAGTTCTAGAGCGCCGAGCTCATTGTATTTGATGCGCTTCGCTGGGTTTGATGAAATAGAAGCGCTGAGCCGTGACGTATGGCATGCTTGTGTGGCGGTTCGCTTCTTGATTTTGTGGTTATGCTGCGCAAGGATGACCGGGACCGCGCCTTCTGAATCCTCGCACTCATGTACATCTTCCCAGATATGGTCATCGATCGTGTCTTCTTCTTTATGCAATTCTCGGAGGTAATCATTCGCGATGCGGCTCTCGAGATTGTGCGTGGCTGGCTGTTTCTTATTAGGAATGCGAAGGACGCCATGTAGATTTCGGCGGCGCCATTGCGCAGGTCGACCTCGGTGAAGTCTGGGCATGTTTACTGCGGGTGGAAATCGATGGCGTTGTTGCTTTAGTCGAGCGTAGTAAGACGAAGCTATCGGTTTAATCTTTGCGGAGAAGCAGCAAGACCTCGGGAGGCTTTCATAACATTCACGTGACGGCGCGAAGTGACTTGAGAAGCAGGAGACGGCCTTTTACGTCCTCGCATCGCTCTAGCTCAAGCAGCGTAAACTCTGTGTGAGTCAAATTCTGTGTAGAAATGAAACTAAAAGTGGGAGAGCTCCCTCACAGAATAGAGAGAGCACGCCGCTGAACAAAATAGTCGCTTCTGAGTCCGTATCTGGTCAAGTCATGTACGTACAGCTTAACCCCCTAATTGTTCGACTGTGTTTTGTTGTTGCAGTCTGGACCTCCATACCAGTGATTTACAAGCCTGACCGCAAGCTCAGGAAACTTGCTGAACTTCTCCTGGATTCGATCGTTGATTTCGAAATGCTCGAAAAGAACTGCAATGTGGTCTGCGACCATGTCTCGTAAGGCTAGATCCTGAGGTGGTGTCGTGGAGTAGATAACGTCAAGCGCAGCCCAAAACCACTTGCTCGCTAAAGCGTCGATGTCGGTAGCTCTCAATTTGGCAACGACGCACTCCTTGAGACCTCGGACGTTATATTTGTCGGCAATAGTGTAGATCTTAGCGTGCACCAGCCATTGACGATCTGATGGGAACGCGTCCTCGATGAGACTGCCATTCTTCTCGGCTTCTTCAACGAGGTTCACAAGCTCACGAAATGGCTTGTTCGTTATGTCCGTGACGTAGATACCAGCCTGATGAGAAGAAACGATTAGCAAGAATCGGCGCCGTTGGGACAGAACTGACTTCTCCAACCACCCGGTAGTTTCGGACGACTTTGAGTACCCTCTCGTAATAGTCACGACTGAGAAAAGGGATCCTCTCCGCCAACCAGCAGGCCTGTTTGCGCTCCGCTCGGTCGGTTATCCCGTCTCGTCTGAGGACCAGCCTCGTCCGGTAGTCATTTTCTGCGACCGGGACCTCGTAATCAAGTGTGTATATGTACTGCATCATGTGTTTGACAATCTCCGGGTCATCGTCAACGAGCTCGACCGCGTTGTTCTCAGCCTCCTATAATTGTTCAGATTTTATGCACTCGCAGACTATGACACTACTAGCCTTTCCAAACCTGCTAGCCCCATCGAAGAAGTCGCAGCGAGGGCAAATGATGGCTTTGTGCACATTGTACGTGTCGTTGCCGCACGTGACGATGAAGTCGGAGTGTTTGCCGGATTCCAAAAGTCTGCGACAGTGTCAGAGCTGGATTTGGCATGGGAAGAATTCCCGATTTGACTGACAGTCTATTAGATTCCACTAGCTCGTCTAGGCGGCTTTGAGAAGCCATATTCCTTCGCTGAAATCTTTTGTAGGAGGTCACCGATCCCGTGCCTTTTCGGAGGGCGAGACCGACGGATACAATGGCCGTACGCAATGAGTGCCGGGCGTGCGAACAGAAGGGTGTATGCCCTAGGTACGGGCGAGAGTGCGGGCACGAGGGTTTCGTTGCATTGTTGGTCGTGGCACTGCGCTGTCAGCGTTATGTTTTGCTTGCAACGCGCTTTCCCTCTGGGTGAAGAATTAGTCGTGCGCTTAATTAACGCCGAAAGTCTTAAAACAACACCGCAAAGAACATACCCGTGGACATTTCACGAACGCGTAGTAAATGTGACCTCGGGACACAACATCCCACTGTCGGGACCATAATCTGTTACGTCAGTGTTGGAGAGAGTCGTCAGAACGCTACGCGTTTGTTGGAGGCTTAGTGGCTGCAGATGAAGTGATGATATGCGCCGGGTTGGAGGAGAAGTCGAGACAGTTTTGGTGATGTCCAATCTTCATCTTTGTCCTGATCAGAAGATGCATGTGTGCCAACCACAATGAATTTGGTAAGTTTATCTATGGGTCGTTTAGAAGAGAAAATACAGCAGACCAAAGATGCTGGATTATGGGTTATTGTGAAGCCAGCAGTTGGGAGGGTTTGCCACATCTAGGTATCTAATTCGGGCGGATGTAGTTGCAGCTAATGAGCCGAATTTTGATACCGTCTTCCGTCTTGTATTTCCGACCTGTCCAGGGCAATCGTTGTGTTGTTGTTCTTCTGACACTTTCATCATCCTCTGTCGATAGCTATGTTCACTCTCAGGCTCAGGCAAACGTGAGATAAGAATATTGGAGCAAGGCCATAAAGGTAAGGTTTGGAAGTGCGAGCATTGAACGGACACATTATCTGCCGATCATACCTTTGAAGCCATGAGAAGAAGTGGCGCTGCTTGGTAACGGCAACTCATACGCGTTTGTATTTGGCCTGGAGAACGTGCAAGGCCAGTGATGGAATCCGCTCTAGGCAATCATTGGTCCGACCACACCGGACGCCATAGACTTCGAGACATGTAGAGATCTTATGTGCCACCTTCCGTCTCAGTCCTTGATCCGTATCCGGGGTCGTTGTCTACAAATCGCGGTACAAGGTCAGTGACAGTTCATAATGGAAGGGACTCAAGGTATGCACTTAGCAAGCTTTGTGAAACGCTAGCCGGGTCGCATCTCACAAGACTATGCGAGTAGGCACCTTCAAGTGAACAGTTCCGTACATATGCGACCTGTGCTGCTCGTAGTAGGATCCAGCCCGGATAAAGAGTTTCCAGGGCTACCTCGAACTTTTCCTCAGCCAGGGCTTTGAGGCCTTTGATGTTGTATTTCTCCGCCAACGCGTAAACCTCAGCGTGATGGGTGGCCGCTTCCTGATGCACAGGGAGGGGTGTCTGGGATTGCAACATAAGGTCAGTAAAGGTTCTCAAGGGGAGGTTTGGAGACCATTGCCTCCAGCAAGCTTTGTGAAATACTACTAGGGTCGTAGTTCACGAGATCATGCCTTGTGGTGGGATTTCCCGTACATCTGAAGTTCTCTTCCGAGGTGCCTTTTTATGTATCTTGAGCAGCGCTTGGGCATGGGTATCGACTCCTTCGTCAAGGACAATGGCGCCTAAGGTTTCCTAGGACAAGTTGAGTAAGAGGCAAGGATTTCCTGGTCAGGGACCCTTACATCTGGCCTGTCCAAACCACATGATTTAAGCATATCCAGTATTTCCTCGTGAAGTTCCCTGGAAAGTCTCGCGAGGAAAAGATCTGCATTGTACTTGTCCCGCCTCTCATAGAGCTTGTAAGGCGATGTGAGGTCTTCTTGTGGCTCCAGCGAGCACGTATTACGGTACGCTCTCCGGTACTTGCGGGATCCAGCTTATAGTCCATCCCATATAAGTATAATATCATGCAATGCACAGCCCAAGCAGGGTCTTCTGG